AGTTCAAGTCGGATAAAGTGTTGTTATTTTTGCATAATTTGCAAATTCAAACGATTGAAATTCGTGTACAAAACCAATGAGAGTTGTTGCTAAAAAAGTTAAGTACAAACAAAGAAATGATGATCAGAGACAATTGGGGGTCAACGATTGCCGGTGTTTACAAGGGTGTGTGTGTGGGGGGGGGGGGGGGGGAAGACGGTTTGATCCGATGGCCCTTCGGCCTCCCCTCCTACCGGTCCAAAAGGCGTGTGGGCGGGTGATATCCCCATCACCACCCCCTGATTTAAGGCCCGGTCGACGACGGCAACGGGTGTGTAGCTTAGTCCGCGGATGAGATCGGCGGCATGGGATCTAACGTGATGATGAAGGACGATTGGGACTGTGGAATGTCCTGTGAGGTGTTCAGGGTCACAGTCAAGGCCGGAGTCTAACAGTGAACTCAAGCAAATGGAAATGTGCCTCGCCAGTCTGGCTTAGTGCTGGAGTACTCGAACTGAGATTTTACATAATATTGCGACTCGTGCGCAGGTTTGATTCAGTCTTTCAAATCTGCGGACTAATATTTTTCACTAGTTCTTCAAAAAATGGGCGTCGGCAGAATGGAAGGTATGAGAGAAAAAATGGAGGGAAGGGAGAAGAGGGGGGAAGCGCACATCACTCACATCGGCAATGACTGCGGAGTAGTTTCAGCTGTTGCGGAACGTTACTGGACGTGGGGCGCAAAGTTCAAGCGTCTCTTTAGCGAGGTATCCAAAAGTTGGTTGGGGGGGGGGGACTTCAAAACGTGGGTGGGGAAATGAACCCTCTCCCACCCCCACTTCCGCCAACTATGAAAGTAATTGTCCTGCTGTTTATATTGACGGATTGCGGACAAGACCACTTTGCAACTCGGGTGATTCACAATACAGTGCGTCACCAAGAGTTTGCCACAGAGAGTTATTTTTTCCCGGTGCATTGTGGGAGATGGTCGAAAAATTCGCAGCCTGGGCATTTGAAATTGTTAGTTTTTCAGGTCAGTACTTTCGCAGGCGTACGATTCGAGGATCTGTTTTCCCTTTTCTTTTTAATATGGTGTTTGTGTAAGGCGGCAGAACGCTATCCCCCAATCTATAACATATTAGCTCAAGTTTTCTACTGACACTCATTCAAATGGGCCATGTTTTCTCGACCGTAAACTTGAACAGTTGACTCTCCATGGCAAAATCTTGGTGACGCACTGCATGGTGAATCACCCGAATCAAATGAGCTAGGTGTCTCACCTCTCTCCCATCCCCCACTGAGCGAACCCCCTGCCCCTGAGAGCTAGTTGGTCAGACAGGTCCGTAAGCTGAGCTTAGCTGAGCTTGAAATTAAGGGTCGCACTTTCGTACCCATTGTCAACCACCCCACGATAATCCCTATGAATGTCCCCGCCCTAAATCAAACTCAATCCCACCCACCCTAAATCCCAACCCCTCTACCCACATCTATACCCTAAACCATAGTCCTGCCTACCCACTGCAACCCACGCCAACCCTTTATTTGTTCACCCACTCAACCCGGCCCACCTCGCCCCCCACCCACCCTTAATAACCCGTCCACCTTCAATTCCACACATCCTCAAACCCCATCCACTATCAAGCCAATCTCCGCCAGACCTCAAAGAGGTTGTGGAATGCTCGAAGACATTTCCGTCATTTTTCGGGTATATGTAGCCTAAGATGTGATGAAATAAAAACGACTATTGTGTCTGTCATGAAATGTGTACAACAGGACTCCCGATGCAGCGTAGTATAAACGAGTCCTGTTTATTACGTCACAATTTACTATGTTTTGTTTGCTGCCCCCAACGACGACTTTTACACAAATTGCACGTTCGGGTCGAAACAGGACCTGAAAAACAGCTCTCAAAAGTACCTTTTGTACTTATTTCATGACAGACACAATAGTCGTTTTTATTTTATCACACCTTAGGTTGCATATACCCGAAAAATTACGGAAATGTCTTCGAGCATTCCACAACCTCTTTAATCCCAGCCTCAAAATGCAAATTGTTTTCTCCTGACCTGCAAGAAAATAGAAACAAATATCCAAACACACAAACTTCGACTCTGTTTGCAATAATTTGTTTACTATCACAGCTATAACGATAAATCTAACAAAGATTAAACATGAGTACTTGCACGAAAGGTGTTAATTAGAGCAGATTTGTAATGGTATTGTTTCATGACATCATTAAACGATTCAAGTATAAGTATTGAAAAATTGCCTTCAAAAATAGTGTTTTATGAAAGTGTTTGGAACCACTAAGTGCGAATAGATCTCTTTTCTCTTTGTAACTTTTTTTCTTTATACTTTCCTTTGAAGCTCGCACCTTGAGCATCTCGAATGACTTTGAGTGGACTTGTGATGGGCTACGCCCATATAAATTGTATTAAATCGTTAGCACCTATGTTTTTATAAGAATTAACCTCAAGTGAACTACAATTACAAAAGAACTACTTAAAATATGGCAAGTAAAAAAAAACCCAAGGAATAATTAATTGAATTATGAAATTTGAAATATTATGGCTCATGTGGTGCAATATAAAAAGCACGCTTTGAAAAAATAATAATAATAATTGGTATTTGGGCGTTTCTCCGCCCGTCTCATGAAAAGCCCTTGTTACAACCCCTTAACCGGAAACACACCTTTTCAATTAATAGAAGTTGGGTATGGAAACATTGTATTGGAAAATCAGCACAGAGTCTGAGGACATGTTTCACAGGACAAATACTGGCATTGTGAGCATGCATGAGTCCAGAGGGCAAGATATTACTACAAAACTTCGAGAGCTATAAAGAGAACGTACGCAATCAGCAGCGATGCGCACACCGATCCGTGCACTGTCAGCGCATCTTAACGTGCAACCAAAACGATTGTACTCGTAAATGAAAATAACGTAATACACATTACCGTTACATTGATATGTTTATTTAACTAAACTTTGACCTTTTAAGCTGATCGTCGGATGCCTGGTAAGATTTTGAATCAATTGTATGTACAGATACAACAGTGACAAGAATACATGTGTATAATAATGAAATATCAATGTATGTTTGACAGTCAATGTAATATTTGCCCTATCCACACAAGATATTAATTTTTCTAATCTCTACATCAGGGGCCATTCAAAATGTTCAATGTTTTTATACATTTGATTCTTTTTTTCAAATTGTTGGTTAGTGGGTCTAGGTAAATAATTGAAAATCCAAAGTCGATTTTCACTAAGAAAAAAAAAATAAATAGACTGAACTAGATCTTCTGACTTCTGATTGTGATTAGTTCTGATGCACATTTCTTTTCCAACTTCGTCCCCATTTAAAAATAATGACCTCTGTAGATTATAAATAGCGCCTGCTAGCATTGCATGCATGTGACGCATAATGAACAAGTATTAATGCAGCATTCCCACGACGATAAAAGTGGCTGCCATCACGGATGTATGCGAGACACCGGCAGATCCTCGCGGAATACCGGCAGATCCAGCACACATTTTTGTTCCCGTAATGGAACGGAGCACGAAACTACACAGTTTTACTATCGTTTGGTATTATGGCCTGTAAATAGTTTTTTAGAAATGCATTTTGAATTCCCGAACAGGTTTTTAAGGGGAAGCATTTAGTTTGGGTGGTTTGAGATTATCTCCATAGCCCCCAAAATAAAATGTCACCCGTTTTTAAACATTTTTGAGTAGTTCAACATTTATTTTAAAATGTGGTGGCAGGACGGAACTCTTTTCTAAAAACTGAACTGCTGACGATGCACACCCGTTTTTAAGCACCGGACTGCAACACACAAACCTGATCCAACTATCAGCTGATGAAGCAAAATTTCTCTGGGCACCAATGCAACAGGGGGAGCAGCTTCATCTAGCCACCACTGAACTGGACACACATTGTGCATGGACACACAATGTGCAGGGATATGCATTGTGCATGGACACATGTACATGTATAAGTATATTTGTATGCAAGTGCATGTTCATGAATTTAATCTGTAATGACAAAACAATTTTTATAAATCGAAAATAGGTCGGGTGGGTCAAGAACATTTGGAATAAAATTCAAATTTAAAAACATTAAAAGTTCGAATGGCCGCTAATAGGTATGATGAAACAAATAATTAAAGACACATACAGACTTGCAGTGCTAATTAAGCACCAAAAACCCTTGGCGAATCTTATGCCGTTAAATGGATCTACGAATGCGCTAATGTCAGTATAAATGTTACATATGTTACAACAGTTACATATGCATGTAAACTAATTTATGTTATATCGAAATTTCTATTTTACAATTACTGGGAGAGATTGAAAATTCGGCAATGCGTGTGATTCCGTGCATAATTGTATGCGCGGTTAATGTTAGTTTATTCAGGGTAAAGGAGGAAGCCACTGAATGAGGTGTAGTGCTTGGTGGATTCACTATACACCCTACCGTGTATAGTCAGATACACCGTGTCTGCTTGCTGTAGAACCAACAACGCGCTTCCTGACATCTGCTCATGGTGACTTGTATCATAGCTTTGGCCAGAGGCAACCCAGTCGTTATTTTTTTTCAGATGAACGTATACGACGCCGCTGTTATAAGCTTTGCTCACAGAAAACATGAACATGTAGGTGCCCGGCACACTACATGCAAATGTTCCAGTCTCGAGATCGAAGCTAGTACCTGGCAAAAGCGTCTCGGTCTCCTGGAAGGGCAAACGGGTGTTGTGACTCGTAGAGGTATCCGAGGTGCTCGTCCTCACCACGGTAAATGCTATCCGCTGGTTGGAGTCAGCTGGTGTCTCCCCTGGCTCACCCTTCTGACCTTTGAAACCAGTTTCCCCGGTTGTTCCAACTAAACCAGGGGGACCTCTCGGACCTATCTTTCCAGGTAGGCCAATCCCATCATCACCTTTAGACCCAATGTTCGCAGGTGCTCCCCGCTCACCCATTGGGCCAATAGGGCCAATCTCCCCTTTTGACCTTGCTGACCTGCAACGCCCTTTGACCCCGGCTGACCGTACGGCCCCATCTGTCCTGCTGGTCCAGGCAGACCTGGTATGCCGGGTATGGCAGCAGGTCCTTGGCAGCACTGCTGACACGCCCGAGACGCAGGACCATCACCGTCCGCGGAGGGAACCGGCTCAGTAACGGAAGCTCGGAGCTTGACAGAGTTGCCCAGAAGGAGCGCAATTGAAAGAGCAGTTGTCACGCAAATCTTCATCTGTAAAGAAAGAAAAACATAAAAAGGACATACATAAATATGAAAACAAATGGGGCAAGCTTAGAGACAAATGGTGAGGTCAGAGAAACTGTGGAAATCACATCAGAGTAAGACTTTTGCAACCTTGTCGTCGATTAAATATAAAACAAACAAATTATTACACATTTACCATGTGAAGTATGTGAAGATTTTATATCCTCAATCTTAAATCTGATCAAGTTCGACAAGCTTCTCTTTAAACTTCTCGTTGAATGCAATGCATTGCTCGTAGACAACATTTGATGTATTGAAGACTCTGGTGTAGAACGACACACATTCTATAACAAATCCGTCCTTTGACAGATTGGAATGACGGATCTGCCTTTCTGAAATGAATGATTTCGTCGAAGTCTAAATTGAGAGTGTTATACCACAAAACCACAATACCACTCTATTTTCCATATGCGACTGCCACTTTCCCTCAAATTTGGCAGGAATGTTTTATGGCCAGTAATCTACCAAAATGGTAGCACTAAGGCAACCACAGAACAGTGGCGTAGCACGGTCATTTTTATTGGGGGGGGGGGGGAACAAATTTGAAAAGGGCACTTGCACATCCGTGGTGAAATGTAGACAAATTTCTTTTCTCCGGACACTTGGCCTCGGTAAAATCAAAACGGGGGGGGGGGGGGGGACCATCTGTCGATGGGGGCGCTGTTCAAAACCGACGATTATGCACACAAAAGGCCAATATACGGTGCTTTTCTGGGCAATACTTGTGCGAAATTCAGAACAAAGGCACCCAAAACGGCAGATGCCACAAAAGAGGGCACCACTATCTTTTTTAAAAGGGCACTTGTTCAGAAAAAAAGGGCACTTCATTAAAAAGGGCACTCTTTACAAATTATTGGATGGGGGGGGGGGGGGGTAAGCCCGCTGAAAAATAGGCATTTGAATGGAAAAAGGTAGTCTTTACAAAATATTGGGGGCGGGGTAAATACCCCCTTCCTCCCCCCCCCCACCCGCTGGCTACGCCTATGCAGAAAGGCGATGTAATACTTATCTAGGCTATTTTTAGTCAAAATGGTATTTGGCCAAAATGTCTATATTGTGTTTAATTTATTAAAATACCTTCAGATTTGAAACAAACAGTGCATGGACCATTATTAATCAAACTAAACAAAACGTTGCCATCGACATTAACCGGAAGAGGACGTTATATTATTTCGCTTTTTTTGTGGTAAAATCGTCAATAATTTTTTTTTGCAGTCATTTCCGGTAACAAAAAGTCACCTTGATGTATGTTTTTGAAGTCTGTCATGAATGATAATCTCTCCACTCGAGCAATTTGCAGGCTGTAAAATAATATCAACAGTTATTGAAAATTCGCTCGGGGATAACTTGGGGTCTGTCGGGACAGGCAGGCAAAGCTGCATTTCACTTATAAAATAACGAGAAGATAAATTAATCGGATATTCTCTTTGGTGTAATGTAATTTTCTTTTGGCGGGGGATGGGGGAGGAGGAATTACTTAATGCGTTCACCAATTGCCAAAACTGGATTCGCGCATGAGTAACATTCATACCTTTGTTGAATAGTGATTTGTTTTATTTATTTCGACGTCAACGAGGTGATCACCAAAAGAAATTCTTGAGCAATATGGAAGTTTCTCTGCTTGGGCTCTCCAACGCAAATCTTTCTTTTTTTCTGTTTTGTCTAAAAAAAAAAAAGAGAAAATATTATTATGTAACAAATTTTTATTTGGAGTTGCTTTGGCGCATTTTAAGCACAAAACGTTGGCCTGAATTTTGTGCATGAGATGTTATCGGCCTCAAAAAAATTCGATTGACAATTTGTACACTAATTTTGTATTCAATATTTTAATGTGTTCGATGTCTCATTCAAAAGTGAAAAAAAGGTAAATTTGGTGGAACTTGCAGAATGGGGGAGAACCTTTCACGCGAAAAAAAGAATGGTTATTAATTCAAGCGTGTTTGAATTTGAGCATAACTATTATACAGTGAGCATAACTATTCTGCAATTAAATGGGAAACTGTTCTTATACCAGGGAAGTATTGGCGAGCATATTACAGGTAAACTACGGGTAGTCAAGTTATAGCCGTTAGAAGATAACTGTTATATTCCCGATTTAAAATCAGCGCACTGGTTTGAACTATTAACACCAGTCACCATCTGTTTTACAACAAAGTGAGTCTCAGAATATATGTAGGATCAGTGAAAATCTGTTCCAACTGTAAAACTATTATTTTTTTTTATAAAAAGTATCAAGATACAAACAAAAATGTCTATTTCGAGCCATGTGAATCTAAGTGGCACGCTGAGTGAAACCCTGCATGTAGATATGACTGCTGAATTCAGCCGGAAGCTCGTGCTTTAAAGTAGGATAGCAGACCAGAAGGGCAGATTTTGAAGAAACATCAACTCTATACATGGTTTGAATTCACCTGGATAAAACACATTGAACTTGCCAAAACAAAGTGTGCATCATCATGATCCGGTCCGCTTGTATTGGCGCCCCTTAGTCTTTACTGACCCGTGAGACGTTAATCATGTATTGCTTGAAAGTAACTTCATAATCAATCCGGAATAATTAACGTAGTGTGAAATAGCCATATAACACAATTAAACATCAGATGTGCAAATGGTACTGACATAACTCAATTGTAAATAACACAAAATAAGGCATAACGTTTCATCCTGTATTATTCAGCCGATAGAAATGGAAACACAACGCAACAGACGTTCTTGTCTGAAAAGGAAAGGTTTGAATCAACCGGGCAGCAACACGGAAGGACACACGAGGACGGGATGATCACTTTGATTTTATGGATCAGGTTTTAAAGTGTCAAGCTTCCTCCAAAGATGTTTCTTTTTTTTTGCTAAAGAAGGAATTTTTGTCATATTTGGATAGAGTTTACCTACCTAAACCGGAAATCCATTGGTAACATTTGTTTCCGTCTACCGTGTGGAGGCCATCTTTGATTTCAAAATTCGAACTTCATTTGTATCAAAACTTCGGACCTGAGTGTCATATGAAGCTCATTTGGTGGCAAAGCCCATGTTTTGAATACCAAGGAACCCGAGTACATAATTGTTTATGGTGTACTCCGAAATGGATGGCAGCTATCTTGGATATTAAAAAATGGCCGCCATTTTCGACTTATTTGCATAATTTTTTAGACTCGAATGTCGAACGAAGTCCATTTTGGTGGCAAACTCCATACATTTAATACCAAGTAATCTAAATAACACATTGCTGATGATGTATCCCCGATGGATGGCATCCATCTTGGATTTTTCAAAATATCCGCCATCTTGGATTTCATTTACATATAACATTGCACCTGAATGTCGTATAAAGTCCATATTAATGGCAAATCCCATGTCTTTGAGGCATCCCCAATGGATGGCAGCCATATTGGATATTCTGAAATAGCGGCCATCTTGGATTTCATTTAAATAATAAGGGGGCACCCGAATGTCGTATGAAGTCCATTCTGGTGGCAAACTGCACGATCTTGATACCAAGGAACCCAAGTAAATCATAGAAGATGAGGCTCTCCCAGTGGATAACAGCTATCTTGAACATTTTTAAATGGCCGCCATTTTGGATCTAATTTGCATATTAAATATGTACTTGGATGTGGTATGAAGTCAATTTTGTTAGCTAAATCGTGTAACCATGGCAGGACCAGGGTTGTTGGGGATGTGATGAAGTTGCGTTTGCAACGGGTCTTTAGCACGGTGACAAGCGTTGACCTTCATGGGACGGATTGTTAATATTGGCAATAGTGGAGCGACATAGTGACGGAATTGTGCACATGACGAAAAGGTTCAGATATAGACACCTGCATAGTGACATTTGAGGGGTCAATAAACTAATATAATCACAGACGTCAGATATGATGTCCCCACATCTGAACATTCTTTTAATGGCACAAAGAGTTTACTTTTAGACTTGGGTCGTGAAAAGAGGCATTTACAACAGTAAATCTTATAAAATCTATCGATAAGTCATTACCTTTCGGAAGGTCACCAGAGGTTAAATATGAAATGTCCTATACAGGGTGAATAAACAAAAACACATTTTTTTTGGATAATCTGAATGGATCATGCAAATGTCATTAGCCGTGACATAATTCTGGTCGAATTGACTTTGATTTACATCAAAGTCAATTTTCTCAATGATGCCACGGATAATCTGAATGGATCATGCAAATTTCATTAGCCGTGACATAATTCTGGTCATAAATGTTAGCTACCCTTATTATATTTCTGATAAAATTGACTTTAAAAGAAATGCGTTTATTTTTACTCACCCTATATACGAACATTCCTTATAGCATGAACACCTACAATTTAGACTTGGAACGTAAAAATGTTGGGGTGTAAAGAGTAAACCTTACAAATAACTAGGTTTACAAAGGTCACTGACCACTCAAAGGGTATAGGAGAGTGAACTTATGAAGATTATTGAAGTCCACGAAAGTTGCAAATGAAATGCTTCTGATATATCAGAATATTTTCTTCATGGCATGAAGAACCAACATGCCAAGTTTCACGCTTTTATCACATAGTGCACAATTCTTGGAACGGTGTAAATGTTGTCTATAGTTGGCAATTAGTAAGTTCACTTCAGGTTGTTTGTATGCCTGGGTTTTTGTTTTTGGTCTTAAGTGGCTCTCTGCATCAACTGCATCGCATGCCCAGACAACCCTGGTCCTTTCATGGTTACATTATACAGGGCATCCTGAAACAAACTGGTGCATGTAAACCCCCCATGTTTTGCTAATTTACAACCAACATGTTATGGGGATGTTTACTCCATCTTTAAGATAATAGATTTAGCTTGAGACTACCGTTTGTTTCATTTGAGATTGCTTTTGTAAATCCAAAGATATGTTTGAATAACGGCAAGCCAAGAAACCCATTTTGTGCCACTCTCTGTGAAGCAGTTAAAATCAGTATAGTCCTAGTCTATAAAACCAAATCACTTTACTGTTAGTAATTTTAACATTTTTAAGCAGAGTGTGCAATATTTATGTACATTTAATTGAACTCTTTCGTTGAAGTTTTAAAAAAGTGAACCTGTCTGTACTATTCAATTGTTTCAACATAAGAACAAAACCCTATATTGTCGTGCGAATGGAATGTTTGTCTTACACCCATAGGGATAACATTATCTAAAGAGCCTTACTGGCATTGTCTGGTCTTTGGGTTTTTTGGCTTTGCGGTTATTCAAACATATCTCTGGATTAACAAAAGCAATCTTAATTAAACAAACGGTATTCTCCAATCTACAACCCTGAAGATCGTGTAAACATTTGCAGTAAATTCCGGTTGTAAATTGCGAAAATGGCGGGGTTTACATGCACTATTTGGACACCCTGTGGCTATTCCTTGCTGGAGCGCGCACCTTTAACGTTTACTATCCAATTACTGTATGGAATGTGGTTTCTACAAAATGTAATTTGAGCCACCCGACCCTCACAACCAGCCCATTCACCCCTGATTAACCTCTGGCATGTCTGGAGTATCTCTCAGGCCCCAAACAGCCGTTAAAACCACAGACATAACCCCATTTGACATTCCATTTTGGTCACAGGGGTGATCGAAATAATCCCAATGTATATAGTGCATTTGTACACAAGCCTATGTAAATGTGCACAAGCACACAGGGTTTTCCCGCCAATTTTCAACCCCTCAAGTAGGATCACAAGACTGACACCCCCTCTGAAGGAGGTACTATGGTCCATACTACGATCTGGTGAGAGATGGCCCCGGGTGTGTTTACCACGTGGCCAGGACAATATAAAACATAAAAATGTGTAGAGTCAATATTCCCTCCTGAATCCAGGTAAGGGAATATACAACATTTGCAAACATCGAAAAATAAAACTACCACGTTTTTACGAAATACCTTACCAGGATGTTGGTAAATGCCAGCCTAGAGCATTCTGTAAAATTATGGCACATGGTGTCAAGTCGTTTACAAGAAAATTGAATTTTTGTATACATTTCCAACGGTGGTCGGCCGACCACCTTTGGAAAAAACCTAACTATTTTTCAACTACTGCTCCAATTTACAATTTTTTTCAGTCCAAATTTTGTTTGCTATTGGTTACATGTTCATGAACGGGTGCAGGCCAGCTAGACTGGTCCCCTTTACCTTACAATTTTGTGACATCTATACATTGATCCATTTTTATCTTTAGTGGAGTCAGGGAACGAGAATGATTCAGCTCCTGAATACAACATAGACCTATTAACTCCATATAATCCATCCAGGCGATTGAGATCTTCTGATGCTTCTTTGCTGGTTGTCCCTCACACTCACAAATCTTGGGGTGATCGATCATTTTCTCACGCAGGTCCTCATCTTTGGAACAAACTACCCCTCGCCATTCGCAACATCTCATCGCTTTCTGAATTTAAAGTTGCCCTAAAGACCTATTTGTTTCAGACCACTCAGAATATTCTTGTTTAGTTAAATTTAATTGTTTTGTTATTTCTGATTTGATATAATTTTTGTTTGCGCCATGAGCGTCATTTATGGCGGATAATGGCGCGGTATAAATTTTCCGTTATTATTATTATTATTAAACATGTTTGTTTTTCTTGGTTTTTCAAGCATTTTCGAACACAAAACTTCTAACATGTCAGTTAAACAATATTTGATCTATTATACTAACCCCTCAAATAGTTCATTTCAGCAAAAGCCAATGATGTACATTCCCTTTAACTTTACAAGAGAGAAGAGAAGCTTGACCATCTTAGTAGCCAGTACGAGGGGAAGTGGCGGCTGCTTACTAGTGATTTTAGTCTCTAGTGCTATCAGATGCCAGGGAAGTACGAGTCTGGGTTGCTTCTGATGATATAAAGTCAGGTGACAGTCAAATCAAAATATATCCAGCAGTTATCATAATCGTGATGTAGATGCCGATGAGGTAACATTCCAAGTATTGTTCGATCTGTGGATTGAAACATTCCTTCAAGCCAGACCTGCAGTTCGGGAAGTTCTGGGTCTGATAGAAGACAGAATGGCCGATGAGCACATAGACTTGAAGGTGCTGAACAAACGAATACCAACATTCAAGAGGCCAACCAAGAAATGTCGGTAACCATTGGAAGCATGAATTTATTAGAGAAACACCTGATCGACTTAAAGACGAGTCCTCTCCGATATTCAAGGGGGGTTGGATGCACATGCGCCAGATACAAACGTTGCTCAACTTCCATACCTCCAGCAAGGAACTGCAATTTGAATTGTACTTACCATCACTGGAAGATATATGTACATATTTCTTTGCATATAACAGACATGACTATAATTTATGTATGCCCAGAACATCCTAGAACTCGTAGCGTGCTCATATTCTACCAAAATTGACTTTATACCACATTCGAGTTCAAATTAAATATGAAAATTAGATCCGAAATGGCGGCTATTTTAAATGTCCAAGACAGCTGCTATCGACTGGGAGTACCCCATCAACAATGATTCACTTGGGTTCCTTGGCATCATGAACATGCAGTTTGCAACCAAAATGGACTTCATACGACATTCAGGTGCAACCTTATTATTTAAATGAAATCCAAGATGGCGGCTATTTTGAAATATTCAATATGACGGCCATCGATTGGGGTGCCTCAATGTGTTTATTAGATTCCTTGGTATAAAAAGTTATGGGGTTTGCCACAAAAAAATGACTTCATAAGACATTGAAGTCCAAATTTAATACGCAAATTAGTTCAAAAAGGCGGCAATTTTGAAATCCAAGATAGCTGCCATCCATTGTGAATACCCCGTCCACAGTGATTTACTTGAGTTCATTCAAAAACATGGGATTTACCACCAAAATGAATTTCATATGGCAATCAGGTCCGAAGTTATGATACAAATTAGGTCCGAAATGGCGGCCATTTTGAAATCCAAGATGGCCGCCACATGGTAGATGGAAAATATGTTACTCATAGATTTCCGGCTAAGGAAGGTAAACTCTATCCAAATATGACAAAAATTCCTTCTTTAGAAAAAAAAATGCAATGGCCAAAATATACTATACTATAGTGTTATTGTTGTTCAAATTCATCTGAAATATTGAACTTGAATCTCAACATATTCTAACAAAACATCAGCAAAGAACTTGATGTAAGACACTCTTGAAAACCTACGAACAGGCACAGGCAAACCTGAACTGAGTTAACATGAGAATTAAATAAACCAGTCAGTATTTGGACAATTTTGTAAGAGTGTGCAATGGAAGTAGTGGCAAACATTTTTAAGGCAGATGGGAACTTCTAAGAAAAAAAATATTTGCTCTTACTTTGGTATTGCTTGGACATTCTGCCTCACAAATTCGTGGTCTGGTTCAGCACTTACTTTATCCAGACTAAGAACTGTTATTCGGCAATATCATGCACAACATACTGCCCATCGGACCTGGTTAATTTCAAGCACTTAATTATCGCGTTACTTATGATTTTTCGATAAAAAAAAAATGAGTCATTTCTGGATCGGAAATTAGCACGCTGGTTTGGACGTTACCAATGTGTATCAGAATCATATTCACAAAATATCGGTTTCAATTGAAATTGTGTTCCTAAAAAAAACCTTGTTTTCAGCCACCAAGCAACTACACCTCAAAAACACAGAAAAACGAGAACATTTCAAGCTTACTATACCCGCGCTGGTTGTTTGAAAAGTCATTGTGTTAGCAATGATCTTCGGAATCTAAATCACATGTTGATTAAAACAATATTGAAGACAGATAGTGCCACTCAATGAGTGAATATATTTTTTTGGTGCGTGTGAAAATGTTTTTTGTACAGCGGTCGCCACTTATTATCTGGCGGCCGCCAGATAATAAGTGGCGGCCGCTGTACAAAAACAATTTTCACACGTACAAAAAATATATTCACACTTTTTTTATGTGGCGGCCGCCACTTATTATAAGTGTGAAAATATTGTTTGTGTACGTGTAAAACTATTTTTTTTTGTACAGCGGCAGCCACTTATTATCTGGTGGCCGCCAGATAATAAGTGGCTGCCGCCACATAATAAGTGGCGGCCGCTGTACAAACAACAAATATTTTCACACGCACCTAAAAAATATGTTCACACTCATTGAGTGGCACTATCCGTCTTCCGTAAAACAATGTGAACAAAACAGGAAACGTTGAAAAAGGCATGCTTAGAGACGATTGTCCAATATGTCAGGCACATCTCTCTACGGTGGGTGAATAGGGAAGGGGATCCCTCACCTCACTAACATCCTGCGACCTTTACTGTTATAATTTTAACGGAAAAAATAAATTCATTATCAATGCACAGAAAAAGAATACAGTCTCCGACAAATAACCGCTCTATTCTGATGCGTTCTTGATTTCAAATAACAGACACTCACCTTAAAGTAACGTTCTTGAATTCTATCACAAAAGGAATCCTCAACACTCGAGCAGATTGCTGAAAAACAAAATACCAACAAAAAAGGGGCGTTCAACATCTGCTCGGAGATAATCTGGGGTGGCTTGGGGAGTCATAGCTGAATTTCACAGGTAAAACACACTCTGTTTTGCGAAATTTGATTTGGATTCATTATTGCAAGCAGAATGCGTTCTCAAACGGCCTTGAATGGACTCACGCACGAGCAACTTTCAAGTGTTTATTTATTTATTTATTTTTTGGGGGGAGAAAGGGTTTTATGGGCGCAAATGCACTTCTGCCAAACATCCGACAAAGGGGGTACTAAGCCCAACACCCCACTCGTTGTTCGGAAAGTTATAGTGCCAGCGACAATTTTCAGAATCTAAATCCGTCGGTGATTCAAAAACTGCTTGTAGGCCTTTGTGCAATTCGCCCAAAAAAAAAATGTAGCGGGAAAAAGAATTGTTGTTTCGAACACTCACCGAGCAAATCCTGTTCTTGTCGTTCTGGCAATCAGGTCTCTCTCGGGTTGTCGGCTGAAGGTGAAGAGTCGTTGTGAGTAAAGAAAATGACCGCTCCTGCCTTTATATCTTGCCGTCGATTTCCTGATCAGTGACTAAATGACTTGGCCCGCTTTGTGATTGGCCCCTGCGCGCTGTCAATCTCAAATCACTGACTTGCTCAGTCATATTAATGAGACGGAATATGATATTATTGCCGTAGAGGCTACATACTCCGTATCAAAACGTGTACCACCGACACTGAAATAGCCGGTGGTGGATAGTGTATTGATGTCGGTGACACATCCAAAACACGTGATTTGCAATTGACACACACAACCTGTCAATCACAGACCACTTGCTTGTGATCACCGACTTGTTGGGTGACTAACTCTGATTGGTGGATTGAAACGTACACCGGCCGTGATTTATTCGGATGCTGTTTGTGCTTTGTGCTGCAGGTACGTTTTCTATGTTCACTCGCGAGCCGCGAGACCCCTTCAATGGAAAAAAAAACACGTTATGCACGCGATTGTACAAAGCAACTGCCAGTGACGGAAAAGCTGAACATTAGCTAGTACAATGCTTTGGCCATTGGAGGGGGCCTTCCCGATAAAATTGATAGATTGCCCGGATTGGTCTATACATCTAAACAATTTTGTTTGTTCTTTTCGCCCCCCCCAAAAAAAAAAAAATCTAGTGAAGGTCTAGTGAAGGTTACGATCAGTATGCCATAGGATCGTCTTCAGGAGATGAAGACGATCAGAGCATATGATCGGAACGTCGACCTTTTCAACCGACCGGTTCTTTTCAGAACCTAACATCTTCCCAAAAGAGATTCTTACAACCTTTACTAGTTCCTTTCACCACCATGCAAAATTCAAATTTCCCTTAGCTTAATTGGTTATGTAACAAGAACTTTCAGGGGCGGGTCCAGACATTTTTGCGGCAAATCAATGCTGAAATGTAGACAGGTTGTTTTTGTCCGGACACTTGGCTCCGTAAAATCAATAGGTGTGGGGAGTGCAGGTGGGGTTGGGTGGTTTTGTTGGGGGGGGGGGGGGGGGGGGCTCTACCATACTTTCCATGAGTGGGCGCTGTTCAAATCCAACTATTATTAGCACTATATTACATAATATTGAACAAAAAAATACCCCCGTACCCCAGCAGGCTCTGTCCGTGTTTTCTGCACAGGCGTAAATAAATACCAGTATAATTGTTTTGGGGTGTCAGGGCGGGGGATGAGGCGTTAACATTATTCTTTATGAATTTCTATGGGAAAAAAATGACAGAGCTGAGGGGTTAAACCCCCTTCCCCCTGGATCCGCGCCTGACTTCTATATAACAGACTGTGCATTCCGGGAGCGTTGTCAGCCCACATTGAAAAGCGGGGGGGGGGGGGGGGGCGGCGTTGACTGCGTTTGTTTTTACCGACGGACCATTAACGTGCTAAAACATAGAAATATTGTTGTCCAGGATAACCGGGGGGGGGGCGTGGCGCCCCATGAAACCTTGTCGCCCCCAGTCGCCCCCCACTGAGATTTTGAGTTTCTAAAAAAATTATCATTGATCTACATGACGCCCCCCCCCCCCATGAAATGTTCCAGCCACCCCTTCCCCCCCCCAGCGCCCCCCCCCCCCGAAAAATGTCTGGCTACGCCACTGCCGCCCTCGCACAATCGAAAGAGCAATTGAATGTACCTTGACGTACCCAGGATGGCGCAACTGTACTGAACTACCACAGTGACACAGTGCAGTGCTCAATGTATTAGGTCTATCTTAAATGTAAAGGAAGTTTAAAAGGTCTGCATTTCCTGAATAGGTCTCTTTAGGTTTTGACCAACTTCCACATAACAATTCATCCGGAATTAGTTTAATAAATCCAACCAGAATATTCTATTCCCTGATTTTCTTACGACAATAATTTACAAGCTAATTTGTTAAGAATAAAAACATGATAGTGGCATTTTAATTTGAATCGTATATAACCATCAGCCCAATTTGATTCTCGTCAAGCAGTTTACCAATTGAGATCTTCAGGCCTACCCCACCCAGTTCGGTCACCGCCCACCCTTACCAGCCTATCCACTTTCAACCACCACCCACCCTCAAACCAATCTGCGCCTGACCTTTAACCCCAGCTTCAATTGAATCATTTGGACCTGCAAAAATAAACAAAAAATCAAAACACAAACTCTGGGTCTGCAACAATGTTAATATCAAGGCTGTAATGATAAATCTATTACAGATTAATTGGGACCATGCTTGCGTTCATGACGACAAACGATTCTTGTACAAGTCTTTGTACTTTTACTTTCCTGGGAATTCGATTGACATCTTTAAACAAATTGCGCATGATGAAAGTGCTTGGAACCATACTGGGCCATCAGCCTGGGGGTTTGGTCGGAATCAAATCAGTGCATAAATGACTATAGTGCGCATGCGCAAGTCATACCGCCCATAGAGTGGTAACACGCATTTTGATGGACATTTTGAAAAAAAAATAACACCCAAAAGCTGCCACCGCCTGCAATGCGGTGGACCGAGGCTGATGGCCTAAACGTAAAGTCCAGCCGAAAGAGTTTTAAAAAGTAGCTTGCAGGCCTAGTTTTCCACATTATCATAAGCTAGAGTTTGCAGTAATTGTTTGTATTTTCTCAGTAATAATAATTTGATACGTTTCACAGTTGATGACTTAATTTGGTAGGCCTTAGAAATTTCATTTAATCTGTCAAAAAGCACAGTATAATCAAATGTAGTAGAAATAAGACAGTATTATAATTAGGCTTATTTACACTTTCCTAATAATGCTACTGCATATTAGAACTGGCAATACATGTATAATTAAAACAACATGCGATATTGTTATAATTATTTGACAACCAACATTGTTTTACATCATAAATAATTGTTGTCCTTTAAGAATTAATCTCAAATTAGCTGCAATTAAAACAAAATCAATCAAAACACACAAAAAAGCAAAATTATTATTAACATGGGAGGAAAAAATACTTGAATTGTCATTGGTGCAATTCAATAAGCACAATTTGTTTTTTTACCCCCCAAAAAGTGTTTAGGATTAATGCATGTGATTGACATCAGGGCGTGTTTCCGCCCATCTAGAGTAAACCTCAAGCCCCTTATCCGGAAACACACATTTTCAATTAATTTAATGTTAGAGAATTTTTAGGAAATCAGTTTTGAGCCGATGTCAGAGAACATTCTTCCGAGGACAAATGCTTTCATTGTAGGCATGGGTGGGCCCAGTGAGCATGATTCTATACAACAAAACTTGGAAAAATAAAGGGCCTGTCACACTGTCACCGTCCATTCATGGAGTTCATATTGCGTTGTTGAGATTCTTAAAAATGTAACAAAACGCCATGAAGACGCAAGACCAGTGGCTTGCAATGCGTCTCTGTAAAGTCCACCGCAAGTCTAAGACGTCCCAGTGGCGTTCTGTAGCGTCCTTGGCATTCTCTATGAGTTTAATTGAAGACCAATTAGAAGTCTGCGCTGCGTCCTTTGCGTCCTCGTTGCGTCCTCATGGTGTCCAATAAGTCCGTACGACGTTCGTGGAGTCCTTATCGCGCGCTCGATGCGACCTTAAAACGTAGGTGTGACTTCAGCAGCCAGAAGCGCGGCGTGTATACTCGGGCCAAACGGGCGATATTCATCATGAGTCTTCACCATTTTAAAGGCATAGACGCAGGGAACGCAGAGGAGACGCACAGTCCTGATGCATGCACGTTCGTAGAGTTCTCACGACGACGCTCCCGTCGGCCTAAACGTTGCCAGTGCGTCACGGCCGTTCGCGAGGAGTTCGTACAGAGTCTTTACCGCGTTCTGGTCAAAACGCCGAGGCGCGGTGTTTGTTTTGTGCATGTCCAAAACGAATGTGGCAGTTTGGCGTTCAGCAAAGCCCTTGGAGTCCCTCTGAAGTCCTCAACTATCAATGAGTCCCAACGCCGTCATCAGCGTTCCCACCGCGCTTTAGTCGATTTTCTTAGTCGCGGTACTAACTCCATGCCAGAACGTGACAGTGTGACAGGCCCTTAAGAGAACTCCGCAATCTGCAACTATCCGCAACGACCCGAACTGATCTGTGCACTCTAAATGCATCTAAACCGGTCAACCAAAATGAATGTAATCATGCATTATTGATAGGTTTAAAATTAAATTTGACCCTATTAATCCACTCGTCGCGCACCTTTGTCAGATTTAAGATAAAATCATGGAAAAATTAACCAGAATACATTTACAATATGACAATTTACTGTTTTTAACAATGGCTACTTTGGAAGTCCATGTTATGTCTGCCTTTATGTCTGCCTTGGAAGTTCATGTAATGTCTGCCTTAACAAACAATATTAGATGCAAGATATTTCTACATTGATTGGACCAACGATTCAAAAAGCAGTTTTTATCGACTAACCTGTACGAGGTATTTTTTTTTTTTTAAGAATTCTTATACACAGTGCTACAATTGGGTCTGAGCAATCAATACCGATCGTGATCTGTGTCTACGTAAATTACAGAATCATTATTATTCAACCAAATTATTTTGATAACCTTGAAATCATTTTAATCTTACACCTACTCATTGGCTATTTTTTTTCGGGTAAACGGAAGAGCGATGGAAAATTCGGCAATGCATGCGATGGTGTATATATTATTCGTGATTAATGTCTGTCTGTTCGAGGTAAAGGAGGAAGCCACTGAATGAGGTGAAGTGCTCGGTGTGATGACTCCACACTCTACCGTATATGGTTATATACACCGTGTCTCCTTGTTGCAGAATCAGCACCGCGCTACCAGACAACTGACCACGTTGATCAGATTCATCATGGGAAGTAATTACCTTGTAGTTGTTTTTAACAAGATGGATGCGAAGGATACCGCTGTTGGCATACTTAAGAACAGAAAACGTAAAAACGTAGGTTCCCGACATATTACATGTAAACGTGCCGGTCTCTAGATCGAACATTGTACCTGGCATAAGCATCGAGTCGAGTCAGCACTTATTTCAAATCATTGAAACATTTTGAAATAAATTTATTATATAACTACAAGTATTTAATTTAAATTAAAAAAAACTCAAACAATTTTGGATTTGCTTAAATTAAACAATTCAAAATGTAAAACAAAAATGTGTTTCTGTATTGACGAACCACCACATTGGCAATATGTTCCATCACTAGTATTAACATACTAAAGAATTAATAAAATAAATGAAATGTACATGTAGCCAAGTCTGTGTGTGTTTTTCCACCTCCGCGAATATCCCCCTCCGAGACAGGATTCATTTGTTTTGCCCAGGATAGTCTTTAAAAACCAAAGCCGCCACAAGATCAGAGCTAAAAGACTATACAATAGTTGATATGTTTTTCAAAAATGTTTCAAATATTCAATTTTCCTTATTTATCATTTTCCCCCTCAATGTTTGGCCTTCAGAGCAATACAATTATTAGCCAACCCTTCTTTCGGAGCCGTAGTCTAGAACCACGTATCTCCACGTGGTCTTGAGCGAAATTAAACTGATCAACTTGGGTACCACACTAGACCACGACGCACGCGGTGCGGAAAACCCCATTCAGCTTGCAAAAAAAACTATTAAAACCTTTCTTTTGGAACACTTCCTTCGGGTTTGCTATATTCAAAATAAATTATTTAGAGAGATCACAACCCGTACTTGTTTACAGACTGTTGTTTGAGTCTGGGATAACCAATTTTGACTGTGAATTTCGTCCTAAAAATCACCCCTTGGCAGTGATTGACGAAACGGAGTATCTTTATTTGAGGTTGAATTTCGAGCTTGTGAAACCTATTTTGTTTGGTGTTGGGGGTCTAATGACATCATAAACATTTTATGAATGAACTTCTACAAAACGATCTGCCCCAAAATGTGAATATTCATTACAATTCCCTGTTTTTGATCGCCCGTCTGTCGGGGAGGATTATCATTGCTGACCAGACGTCAAAACATGAATTATGCATTTTGTTTGACCTCCCTGTAAAAGTGGCATATCTGCACAACCGTTCTTCGCTTTTTACGACGGCCGAAACAGCGGTGAAGTGGAGGCAGAAAGTTTCTGGCAATTGAGTGGCACAGTTTAAACTTCAGCGTGGTATCAAAAAGTGGGTGAGTAAAAGACACTGACATTTAAAACGTCGAGACAAAGCTCCCTCCTCCACTTCCGCCACCCGCTGTCCCGCTGTACGTTTTGACGTCTGGACACAATGATAATCCAGCTTGCTGACAAGAAAGATTACTTTGCAAAATAGAGGTGTCTCAACCCTCCTTCCTCCACTGGAGCAACACCCCTGCCCCTGAGAGGTCGGGGATATTTAATATCCAAAAGCTGAGGCAGGTAGAACTCTTGAACATAAAAAAATATTCTTGAACCGTCCAATCTGACTCCAGTACCAATAGTCATGTGACTTTGCCTTAATGTCTATGAACATCATCTCCCTTAACTCACCTTAGAACCCACCCGCCTTTAACCTCTTCCCATCGACCCTTTGACCTTATCCCTGACAACTTTAACCGCCCCACTCGTACCGACACCACCCTACATCCTAACGGCCCAGTCCCTCCCATAACCAATCCACCTTCAACCCATATTTTGTCAACCTCAATTCACTTTCATGCCCCACTCACCTTAAAACCCAACTCACCCTTAACCAATCTTCACCCGACCTTTCCATCCCAGCCCTAAATCTAATCAACCTGACTTGCAAGAAATTTAATAACTAAAACATGCAACAACATTCCAAAGTAACTCATTGACAACACATTGTACATCCAATAATTTTAATATCAAAGCAATTATGACTTTATTCAATTACAGATTAAACATATATAAGTACTAGTGATGAGGAGTTTATCGTTCACAACAAAAACAAATAATTCCGATTCATGTACAACAGTCAGAAAGGCTTTGTGTTTTAATTTCATGTGAATTTGATTGACTTCTTCCAAACATATTGTATTGCAAAACTGTTTGAAAAATTACAGTTCAGCCTAACGTGTTTTTAAAAAGCATCATAAAAAGCCGGGTCTTTTAATGTATTATTTACATTTTCTGAGTAGCTATATTCGATACATATCACATATAATTATTCGTGTTGTAAATTATTTAATTTGTCAAATATGGTTATATTATCAGAATCATAAGAAATTAAAGGGGCACAAATTAAAGGATTGTTTTTATCCAATTTTAAAGGTTTGGTTGAGAGCAAACTAAGGCCATACCAAAAAAGTTTAGCGTCCCCGCCCGCTTCCTTTTTGGAGGCCGCCTTCTTTGTTTCTAAATTTGTTATATCACGAAAAAATGATAAATTTTAATTGGTGACTTCATTCTGGCTTCTTTGTCTGCTGCATCTAGCACATATAAAGCTGGTATGTTGAAAAATAGCCCGGTCGGGCGGCCATTTTGAAAGAAAAAAGAGCGTCCTCCTTCCTTTTTTTAAAAAGGCAGGACGCTAAACGTGCTTTTTTATTTGGCTTAATGTCTTACTGTTCCAGAGAAAAGACGAAAAAAAAACACCGGACGCAAAAGACATTTGTTGGAAATCTACTAGATCCGAGTGAAGTTCATCATCTAACAGTGAACTACATGTAAAACATGTAAATGTGCCTCGGTAGTCTGGCTTAGTGCTGGAGTACTCGAACTGAGTTTTACATAATGTCGCGACTCAGGCTTGATTTGGTCTTGGAACCCTGCAGATTTTTTTTTTTTTTTTTTTTTTTGGGGGGGGGGACTTAATCTTGACCAAACGGGCGTCGGCAGAACTAAAATAACTGGGAATGAATGGAGGAGGGAGATTTTACTCACGTTACCATTGGCCGCGTAACAATTGCAAGTAGCGGCAGAAAGTTTTCATGAATTTGGGGGGCACAGTTCAAACTTAAGCGTGGTATCCGAATGTGGGTGAGTAAAAAGACACTGACATTCAAAACGTTATTCGGGGTAAAGGAGGAATCCACTAAATGCGGTGTAGGAATAACCAGCCACCTTACCGTTCATGGTAAGATACACTGTGTCTTCCCGCTGCAGAACCAGCACCGCGCTTCCAGACGCCTGCTCTTGACTCCCAGAATCACTATAATTATAGACAGAGACGACGACCTTGTCGTTGTTTTTCCTGAGGCTAACGTCAATAAAGTTAGAGGAAGAATATTTGCGCACAGAAAACGTAAACACGTAGGTGCCCAACACACTACACGTAAACGTGCCGGTATCAAGATTGAAGCTGGTACCCGGCAGAAGCGTCTCGGTCTCCTGGAAGGGCAAACGGGTGTCGGACCTCGAAGACGTGAAGTCGCTCGTCCGCACCACGGTGAATGCTACCCGCTGGTTGGAGTCGTCTGGTGTCTCCCCTGGCTCACCCTTTTGACCTTTAACACCAGTCTGCCCCGTTGCTCCCAATAAACCTGGTGGACCTCTCGGACCTATCTTGCCAGGAAAGCCTATCCCGTCGTCTCCAGGGTTCCCAGATGCACCCTGCTCACCAACAGGGCCAATCTGTCCCAACTCACCTTTTTGACCTGGCTCACCAACATCACCCTTTGACCCCGGCTGACCGTACGGCCCCATCTGTCCCATCGGTCCAGGCAGACCTGGTATGCCGGGTATTGCGGCAGGTCCCTGGCAGCACTGCTGACACACCTGAGACGCAGGACCATCACCGTCCGAGGGAACCGGCCCAGTAACGGAAGCTCGGAGCTTGACAAAATTACCCAGAAAGAGGGCGATTGACAGAATGATGGCCACACATATCTTCATCTGTAAAGAAAATAACAATGAAATACGTAAATATGAAAACAAATTAAATGCAGGAAAAATATTGAAGTCGAGCAAACAAACTGGGTAATCACATCCAAGTGACTTATAAAAGCTGTCGTCGTTTGAAAAAGAAATGAATTATTATGGCAGGCGCGGATCCAGGAATTTTCGGGGAGGGGGGTTTCATCAGCAAAACAATTCTGAAAATGTATACAGGTTTTTTTTCTCCGGACACTTGGCCTCCGTAAAATAAAAAAACGGGGGGGGGGGGAGACCATATTTTAATAGGGGGGCTGTTCAAATTCGAGGATTATTAACACTAGATTACAGAATGGTGTACCGTATTTTGAACAGCCAGACATTATAACAGTATAACTTTTTTGGGGATGTCACAGCCGGGGGGGTTGGACCCCCCCCCCCCCCCGGAGCCGCGCCTGTATGGGTCTGAACTTTTTGTATTCTAAGTCCAAACTGATCTAGTTTGGAAAGCTTCTACATGTTTTTAAAATTTTCACTTAACAAAATTCATTTTCTGTAGACGAAAACTATGGTAATACTTTAGAATGAATGAACAGTCATGGTTCTTTTGCGACGAATCCGCCCTTTGGCAAATTCAAATGACGGATCTATCTCTCTAAAATGAAATGTTGTCGCCAAACTTTGCCAGCTTAAAAGTGTCTGAATCTGAAAAAAGAATTGCTGCAGAAACTTGATTAGCAAAATCATTCCGTATAATAATGATAGTATGAATAATAATGATATTATTGATATCACTCTGGCGAATTTGGGCGGAAATTAACTCCATCAGATATTCAGGACATTTTAGAACCAGGCGGCGCACTGTGTTCCCCATCCTAATTTCCATATGCAAAATCCAATTTTTCTAAAAAAATGACAGGCATGTTGAGTGGCCAGTAATCTATACAACGACACAATTTGGTTGCACTGCAATAGGGCACTTTACTCATGTTGCCAATTTTCTGTCAAAACAGTATTCTTAGCACAATTTCTGCATTTATTCGTTCAAATACCGTTATATTTGTTACAGTTTGTGGGTTATTATCGATTACGATTATACAAATGATGCATCCAAAGTTACTATCAACTTTTTGGAGTAAAATCAACATAGGCCTATATTTCTGGTTTTGTACAAAAGTAGCAATTTTTCCACCAAATACGCCACTCAATCAACTGATGGTAATATTATTACAGAAATTGTATGCAGAAACTGTCGAAAAAGTGCTACATAATCAAGAAAATTGTGCAGAAAAGTTGTAATTAATAGCGTCGTTTTTGCGATGATGGCGGCCATTTTGATTTCTCAGCATGCATTTTACTTGGTCACGTGACCATGAATGTTTGTCTACAGGTATACTTGATAGGTAATGGTAAAAAAAACATGGTTTTGATTCACAATATGCTTAGTTCTTTTGTTTTTATACACAATTTACCAAACTTTACGGTGACTTGGTAACCATGGAAACTCTACAGAAAATATTTTCGGTAATAAATTGACCTAGGATGAAAGTTGGGAAAAGTCACAAAATGTAATGCCGATCGGCAAAATCATACCAGAACTCTTATAAGACGTTTTATGGGGAAGGGGGGAGGGGGACACTGTGTCCCCAGTCATGATAAATGTTCAGTTTACGTTCAAACCATTTTCAAAGCAAGGATTTGCCAAAGTGTCAGGCACGGTTCTATAATGGGTCAAGGGAAGAGGGATCCCTCAATTCTCTAAATGTTGCTTGGTTTATCGAGCGTCGCTCTAAATCTCTGTTATAAGTTAATTTTAAAAAATGCATAGAACAAAAAAAATCTGCCCTCTATCAGGCGTATTCTTGAGAGATTGAGGGCGCTGTAACGACGCCAATCGGGGTATAAACTGACATGATCCCAATTGGCGTCAGTTTGTCATATGATATAGCTCAAAATGACATTCTCACATTGTTTATCCAAGTAAAGTTACGAATTTTTACCCAAATAATGGTGCCATTTCAGCGTCTTCATTTGCTTACACATATAGCCTATCCCGGCGTTTAATGGAGTTCAATTCCTTTTAGACATTTTTTTTTGTAACAGAAACTCACCTTGATGTATTTTTCTTGAATTCGTTCACGGTCCTCAGCACTCGAACTGATTGGTGACTGAAAATAACTATAACGAGATAAGTCATCGACAATTCCTTCGGTTAGAACTTTGGGGGTGGTGTACATGTGGGAAGGCATTGCTGTATTTTACTTGTAAAACACAGAACACATAAATGTATATTTTTCCTATTGAGTGAAACGTGATTTTGGTTGATTGGTTTTTATTCTAATCCAAAAGTTGAAAGTAAAAAAATAAAAATGTATATGTTTTTTTTTCTGGATCGGAAACTAGCGCATCGGTTTGGCTATTAGCATCAGCTGCCATCTGTCTCAAAACAGATCGAGTCTCAGAAAATCTGTAGGGTTTGTGAATATCTGATCGAACTGTAAAAGTAAAGATAAATATCAAAATATCAAGCCTCAATGATATTGAGCTTCAAACGTTTAAAGCGGACAGCGGAGCAGAAGGGCCAATTAATTTCTACAAACATCATATCTATTTATGATTTCTACAAATGATTCCAGATAGATAAAGCAATTTGAACTGGAATAAAACGTTGTGCATCATCATCATCAAGGTCCAATTTGTTCTGTTTTTCGCCCTCTACGTGTAATCTTTCCTAACCGGTGACGCTCTTATCGTACATTGCTTAAAAGTAGCCGAATAATAAGACCGGAATTGCGCACTGTGAACTAGCAAACTGACAAAGTTCAAAAGTGTAAAAGGTATATATTGCGATCCGACTCATTCATAACACCAAAAAGACAGGAATGTGTGAGTAGTCTGGATTTTTTTTCATTCCTTCTTCCATTACCAACTTTTCATCCTAAATTGTTTAGAGTGATTGCTGAAGAGATGTTTACATGTTCATCGCAACACATGTTTGTGTTTGAAAAGGGAGGCTTTGAATCAACAGAGAAAAAGAAACGAGGTAGAATATACAGTGATGCTTGATTTGACGGGTCGAAATATTCAGGGTCGAGCTTATCCCAAAACAATGTTTTATTACATGTGAAAGAATGACAGTGCGCAAATTTCAATCACCAGGAACCATAATAAATTTTAAACTATTCGTAAATTAGCAGAAAATGTTAAAGAAATGCAGTCAAACATTAATAGCCATGTTTTGTCAATGAAAACTACCGTGATTGTGATTCTGTATTGCGCTATTATTGCAACGAGATATCAAGCGAGTTTCCAAGACCCATAAAGCAACCAGTCATGTAGTGTTTGAATGTTTCTTATTTTTTTTTTTTAAGAATTTACGATCGACGTTTTATGTTATCATTTTAACTAAAAAGGTTTATAAATGAACATAACGAAACGATGAAGTCTCCCACCTCATCACAGCTCTATTGTGATACTTTATTTCCGTAAATGCCAAGTAACAGACACTAACCTTCAAGTAATGTTCTTCAAACCTATCACGAAAGGAATCTTCAACACTCGAGCAGATTGCTGGCTGAAAAAAATAGCAACAACAATGATTTACTAAATATCCGCTCGGAGATAACTCCGGAGGAGGCATAGCTGAATTTCACAAGTAAAACTCTCTATGTCGGGGCGAACTGTGATTTGGATTAACGGCCTGAATGGATTCACGCAAATGTTTACAAAAAAATAATTTCTCACAAATAGGATTCTAATCTTGTTTTATCATTAGAAAAAAATCAGAGCAAGTTTATTTGCAAATGCCCGGAAAAGTAACTACCGGTTTAAAAAACAATTTACAAAAAAATATTTCTCACAAATAGGATTCTATTCCTTTTTTTTATCTTTAGAAAAAAGAAAAAAAAAACAAGTTTAAGCAGTGCAAGTTTATTTGCAAATGCCCGGAAAAGTAACTACCGGTTAAAAAAAACAATTATTATATTGCGGCCATCTTGAGTCTTTCGCTTTTAAATCAACGTAAGCAAAGCGAGGCTGGAGGAAAAATAGCCTGGTTCCTTTTTGCACACAATAATTATCATTCGCTACTGTTATTGGATACAGGGAACATGACTTAAATGGTTGCAGCATGATAAAGGTTTATGACAGAAACTCAATGCTCAAAATGAAGATAGGACTGGAATCAAATATTCTGTGAAAATTGTATAAAAAACCTTAACATGGAATGGGTTTTTAAAATAATGTCCCCGCGTGCACATTGTTTTTAATACGTGTGTTTGCAACGGAATCCTTTTCCAAGACTGAATTTAAGACCAATACATTGTGCATACATTTTGCTCATCGTGCAGGTTAGTTGTTATGCACCCTACATCAGATTCTATGTAATTTGGCTGCATCTAACAAAATAGTACTGAAGAAAATTGATCCTATATTCCTCTAAAATTGCTTGAATTTGTAGTTGTATGAATCACAATGAGCTTACATTTTCTACATTGTTAAGGGAGTCGATCTCACACCAAGAAAGTAGTGGCGGTAATATTACAGGTGGACTACCACAATCAAGTTGCAGTCGTAAAAAAAAATGAATATTTTGGTATGAGAAATGAGGGTACTGGTTTGACTATTAGCGTCAGCCACCATCTGTTTGTCAACCGATTGTGCATTAAAATCGTTAGGATTAGTGAACATTTGTACAACCACTCAACATTCCAAATGTTAATCAAAATACCTCTATCGTTGTTCGTAAAAAAAAAAAATATACAGACTCTCAGTGGCATGCTGAGTGGAACCCTACAAGTAAACATGACTGCATTCATGCGAGAGCTTGCGCTTCAATTTTTTTAGGAGGTCAGTTCAGCAGAAGGCAGCATTAAAAAAAAAAATGTGTACAAACATCAACTGCATACACTAATTTCTACAAATGAATCCCAGTGAGAACTATAAAAGTAAAACAATTGTTTGTAAAACTCACCTAGCAAATCACGTTCTTGTTGTTCTCACAGTTAGGTCTCTCTCGGCTT